TAATTACCTCCCACTGGATCGCTCCCATGATACATGGCAATTATGGGAGCTACAATTTAAGATGAGATTTGAGTAGAGACACAGCCAAACCCTATCAGAAACCTCTTTTTTTTTTTTTTTTAAATTAGCCTCAGGTATTTATTATAGCAATACAAAAACCACCTGCTGCACAAAGGATGATAGATGAGCTGAGATAACTTCTCTGCCCTAACACAACTCTAGCTGACTCCTAAACCTTGCATATACACAAAAAAATGGCAGGGAGTATCTATTGTATGTATTTTCAGTAAGAATTGAAAGCTTAGGGGGACCTGTGAATTTGCTGTGACTTTGATTGCATTCCTCAATCCACATACAACTTGGGTAGCAGAAGGTAATTTTTGTAAGAAGCCTTACTGGCTTGAGGTATTTGAGTAGAGCCTTGCCCAAAATTATTTGCTGACAGCTAACCTATGCAGGTACAGTGGATACTTGCTAGGGAACCAGACTAAAAAAAAAAATTAAAACTGAGTAGAGACATTAGTGGCTACACACTGTGGGGAGATACATTTCACAGTTCGAGTCCAGGCCAGTCAATTGATTGCTATCCCAACCAATAACCAACAACCGTCAGAAGAGCAAAACAAAATCCACAGTTGCCACAACATATTGCACACAATGTCCTGCTTCTGTCTAAAAATTATTAGGTGTGCAAAGAAACTGAAAAGAATGTTTCATACTCAAGAAAAAAAGGACTTAATAAACAGGTACTTAGTAAACACAAATATTTGATTGAGCAGACAAACATGTGGAAGCAGCTGTTATAAATATGGCAAATATTTATATTTGCTTAGCATATTTAGCAATATGAAAGGTGTGAAGGTAGCTGAAAGGAAAAGGAAACTGTAACAGTAAGTTTATTTAGGAAAGACCCACAGTAAAATTTCTTAAAAAGTATTATAATTGATATTGAAAACTCAGCCAGTGGTTTAACACCAGATTAGGTACAACTTGAAGACAGAATTAATGAACAAAAGAGAGACGACAAGAAAAACCTGTTATGTAGCACAGAGAGACAAAAGGCAAAAAATACAGAAGAGAGAGTAAGAGACGTAGAACATCGACTATCCATTGTATGTTTAATCAGACTTCCAGGAGGAAAAGAAAGGAGCATGGGCAATATTTGAAGAGATAATTGTTGAGAATTTTACAAAAGTGATGAAGAACAGCAATCTATAGATTCAAGGGACCCAGTGATTTCCAATTCGGTGAAGCCCTAGCAAGAAAAATAAAAATAAATCCATACCTAGACACATGCAAGTAATACTGTAGAATAAAAAGTGGGGATAATCTTAAATGCAGCTGAAGAAAAATGACAGAGTTCCTTCAAAGGAACAGCAGTAATGGAAGTCTGAAGACAGTGGAACAATATTGCCAATGTGTGCAAATAACTGTTGATCCTAGGACTTAATCTCAAGTGAAAATTTCCTTTAAGAATGAAGGCTAAGATAAATATGTTTTCTGACAAACACAAACTGGGATAATTCAATACTAATGGGTTTTTTTATTTTTTATTTTTATTTATTTATTTTTTTTGAGATGGAGTCTCGCTCCATCGCCAGGCTGGAGTGCAGTGGCGCAGTCTTGACTCACTGCAACCTCTGCCTCCTGGGTTCAAGCGATTCTTCTGCCTTAGCCTTCCAAGTAACTGGGATTACAGACATGCGCCACCACGCCTGGCTAATTTTTGTATTTTTAGTAGAGATGGGATTTCACCATGTTGGCCAGGCTGGTCTTGAACTCCTGACCTCGCGATCTACCCGCCTCGGCCTCCCAGAGTGCTGGGATTACAGGCGTGAGCCACCGTGCCTGGCCCATAGTGGTTTCTTATGAAAAGAAATTCTACCTGTATTCAGGTAGAAGAAAATGATCCCACATAGAAGGTCTAATTAAGTTCAATAAGACTTGATAAAATAGTGAATATTCAGATAACGCTTAAATGAATATTAACTGTAAAGCAATAGAAATAATACTTGTGGGATTAAAATAATGTAATTAAATTATAGATTAACAACACACGGGATAAAAAGGGTCACTTCTACTTTGGGAGGCGGAGATGAGAGGATCCCCTGAGACCAGCCTAGGCAACATAGTGAAACCTTGTCTCTACAAAAAATTGACCGGGCATAGTGGTGCATCCCTGTAGTAGTCCTAGCTACTCAGGAGGCTGACGCGGAAGGATCACTGAAGCCCAGGAGTTCGAGGTTACAGTGAGCTATGATCACACCACTGCACTCTAGTTGGGCAACAGAGCAAGACCTGTCTTAAGTAAATAAATACATACATACATACATACATACATACATAGTCATTTCATAAAGTTAAAAAGATTTAGTTTGTGTAACAACATGACTTCAAAATAGTAAATATTGACAGATCTTCAGGGAGAAATGGGTAAATCTGTCATGGCTCTCTATATATTAATCTATGAAACTATTTTTTTTTTTGAACTTTTCTGTGTGTAATATTGAGCAATTACATACTTTTTCATAAAATAACTTTCTGTCTTATTAAAAGTTGTTTGACAACACTATTTTATTTTATTTTTTAAGAGATGGGATCTTACTCTGTCTCTCAGGCTGGAGGGCAGTAGTTCACTGAAGCCTCAGACTTCTGGGCTCAAACAATCCTCTTGCCTCAGCCTCCCAAGTAACTGGAACTACAGGTACACACCACTCAGCCTGGCTAATTTTTAAAAGATTTTTTTTTGTAGAGACAGATTGTTGCTTTGTTGTCCAGGATGGTCTCAAACTCCTGGGCTTCAAGTGATCCTCCTGGCTTGGCTTTCCAAAGTGCTGGGATTAAGTGTGAGCCACTGTACCTGGCCAACAACACCATTTTTAATGACAGCCTCATTTTTAATTATTTCTGGTTTTAATTTGACCTATTTAAAATTTGAAACATGCATGGAATTATGTTGCCTGAATATCTGTTTAACCCATCCTCAATTTTTAGACACTTGTTTTCAGTATTTTTCTATTGATATTATTATGAGTATCACTATAGATAAGTGTTTTCATATACCAGTGTGTATTTTTTTGAAATAAATTCTTATATGTTTAATTATGGTGTCACAATACATATACAATTTTTTGTTTGTTTGTTTGTTTTTAAGACGGAGTCACATTCTGTCACCCAGGCTGGAGTGCAGTGGCGCGATCTCAGCTCACTGCAACATCCGCCTCCCGGTTTCAAGCAATTCTCCTGCCTCACCCTCCTAAGTAGCTGGGACTATGGGCGTGGGTCACTGCGCCTAGCTAATTTTTGTATTTTTAGTAGAGACAGGGTTTCACCATGTTGGCCAGGCTGGTCTCAAACACCTGACCCCAGGTGATCTGCCTGCCTCGGCCTCCCAAAGTGCTGGGATTACAGGCGTGAGGTGTGATTGTATATGTAGGCACCCAGCCCTACATGCGCAATTTTAAGGCCTTTGCCAAGTGGCTTTCCAGAAGTCTGTCATTTTCAGTTCTCACAGCAGTGTGTGAATAAGCATATCCATCTATGTGAATAAGTGTATCCAGCACTACACCTTATCATTTTAAAATATTTTGTTTGATGCAAAAAAAAAAAGTTATTTTGATGTACATTTTCTTCATTGTTAGTGAGATTAAACTTTCTTAGATTTTTTTTAGAACTCCAAGATGGTTGTGTTCACATTTATGTCTATTAAATATCTATATAAAGTTTTCTGTAAGCAATCAGATAACCAGATTTAGTGAGAATTGTACATCAATAGAGTCATTGAGATTCTGGGTAGATTCTAATGTGAGGTTCACTGCATCTGTGTTTTGGGTGCTATGAGTAAAAACCCCTTTTCAGATAGGAGCACTCAAACATCAAAGGCAAGGTGGGTATAGTTAGCGTAATGGACAGAAAGTCATGGCAACTATTGGAATAATCTGAGTTATTCAGTCATATGGTGTTTGCTAGTTGATCATGGTGTTGTCTAGAAGTGAAATAGATAGCAAGCCTGCTAAAATCTTACTTGATTTGTATAAGCAGAAAGTTCTGTCAAGTGAATAAAAGTTGAGCTTGCATCATAAAAACAGAGAGTCCTGGCCCCTCAATTCTCACACTTGAGCCTTTGTAGACCCAGGAACCCTTGAATGAAGGAAAGGGCAGATGCCCTCAATGAAAAACCCTAGTATGCTACCTAAAATTTATACTGTTAATCTTTCTCCCAGCCTTCCACAAAGGGAACCATGGCCTTTCTCAGGGTAACAGTTCCCCATGTGCACTGGGGAAAAGGAAATAATCACCCCTTTTGGGACTGCTGGACACTGGTTCTAAATGAACACCAATTCTAGAAGACCCAAAACATCACTGTGGCCCTCCAGTTAGAGTAGGGGATGGGGTCAGGTGATCAATAGAGTTTTAGCTCAGGTCCATCTCACAGTGGGTCCAGTGGATCCCTGAATACTTCCTGTGATTATTTCCTGAATTCCAGAGTGCTTAACTCAAATTAACACACTTAGCAGCTGACAGAATCCCCGCGTTAGTTCCCCAACATGTGAGTTGAGGCTATTTTGGTAGAAAAGGCCAAGTGGAAGCCATTAGAACTGCCTTTATCTGGGAAAATAGTACATCAAAACCAAACCAGAAGTCTTTTTCATTGACTTACAGGTTTGTAGCTATTCTGTAGAATTGAGGAAACCCAGTGACTAATTTCTATCTAAGTGCACTATGCCTGTGATGTGACAACTTTTATAATCTTCCATATGTGTGAGCAGAATCTCTGGGCATTATTTTCTAAAAAGACACAGAAGCTTCAGAACTATCTCCTTGTAGTGACCAATGCTTTGTCTTCTGAAACTAAGTAGTTTTGGGAAAATGTTTACTGAATATTAATTTTACCAGTATGTTTAATATTTAGTTTGGAATATCATAATTTGGAGTCAACAGGCCCACAATAAAATTATTAGTGTATTGGGGAGAGTCTTAATTTTCTTTTTTGTTTCTAGAAACCACCAAGTTTTACATGACAGAGATAATCATTCAGTCATCTGAGAGGAGTTTCCCCATCATACCAAGGTACAAATAACAAATTACATTTATTTGTAATTTCTTTTTTTCCCCTATTCAGACCTTTTTTTTTTTTTTAAATTTTTTGGTTTTGAATTTATTTTTTATTTTAATAGGTTTTTGGGAACAGATGATGTTTACTTACATGAATAGTGATGATTTCTGAGATTTGGGTGCACCCATCACCCAATCAGTCAGTGTTCACTGTACTCAATGTGTAGTCTTTTATCTCTTACCTCTCCCCCCGCCTTTTCCCCAAGTCCTCAAAGTCCATTGTATTATTCTTATGCCTTTGCATCCTCATAACTTAGTTCCCACTTATGAAGGAGAACATACGATGTTTGGTTTTCCATTCCTGAGTTATTTCAATTAGAATAATAGTCTCCAATTACGTCCAGGATGCTGTGATTGCCATTATTTCGTTCCTTTTTGTGGCTAAGTAGTATTGCATGGTATATATTTGTAATTCCAAATTTAGGAAAAAGGAAGTACAATTGATGATATGGGAATTCATTTTTATTCATACCTTTCTTTATTTGGAAAAGGAAAGAGAAAGCCTTTTAGATAGTTGAACCAAACCACACATATAAAAGATTTGAGGATTTAAAAAAATGTTTTGCTCCATATAGTGCTGTAGACAAATGTGCTCTTATAAATCTTCTAATTCTGAAAGTTTTCTATGCTTATTTCTATGTGCCAGATATCTAGAATTTTATCACCTAGTCACCAATAAGTTTTTTGAATAGCTTCTGGTTTTAATTTGAATTATTTAAAATTTGAAACATAGGTCAGTTTCAAATGACTCCTGTGTTTTAAAAACATGGTACTTAGCCCCTAAATCTATTAGTGTTTTTATTTCTTTGACTCTTTTTAGTTTGCAAACAAGTTAACCATGATATGCCTTTATTCCTGTTTATTTGTTGATATCCTAAAATTATGGCAATCTGAGTATAGCCTTGAACTTTATCGTTACGTAAATACTTGGATTCTGTACCTCAGAGCTGACACTTTAGGGACACTTTCCATCCAAATGGAAGAAAATGTAGACAATACTGTCTGATGTTTGGAAGGAAATTTCTTGCCTCCTTTTGTAAGTTAGTTATTCTCTGTTTAATATGCTACAGCACAAATGGAGTATTGACTTGTTCTAACATGGTATTTTTTATTCAGTAGGGGTGGATAGTTAGGTTTGGTGTGGAAAGTGTATTGAGGATTGGAGAATAGATTTGAAGAAGAATGGAGCAAAGCTGAATACATTAAACTATATTAAAATCCACATCAGTGTGGATTGTGAGGGAATGAGCAGTACATAGAAAAGTCTGGAATGTGGATGTCTCTGCCTTTTAGGTACCCTGTGGGTATTTTTTGCTTATCTTACCAGTTAGAGTTATTATGAGACACACGTTTTGAATATTGATTTCTGTTCAAACAGGTCTCGGTTTGTCCAGAGCGTGATCACCCAGTGTCTGGTGCAGCTCTCCTCTGCTAGAAGTACTTTTAGATTCAGGATTCAAGGTCAGGACGACAAAGTGTATATCTTGGTAAGAAATTATTTTATCCAGCTTTTGTAGCCTAGGAATCCAAGGTCTCAGAATTCTTTAGTTTTTTCATTTTTTTTCCTTAATTCTCAGGTGTGGAAAATAAGTGATTAAAAATGTTAATATCAGGCTGGGCATGGTGACTTATGCCTGTAATCCCAGCCCTTTGGGAAGCCAAGGTAGGGGGATCACTTGAGGTCAGTAGCTCGAGACCAGCCTGGCCAACATGGGGAAACCCCATCTGTACTAAAAATACAGAAATTAGCCTGGTGGATGGCCCATGCCTGTAGTCCCAGCTACTCAGGAAGCTGATGCAGGAGAATCGCTCGAAGTCGGGAGGTAGAGGTTGCAGTGAGCCAAGATGGTGCCACTGCACTTAAGCCTGGGTGACAGAGCAAGACTCCATCTTAAAAAAAAAAAAAAGTTAATATCAGTTTAATTCATAAATCAAACTCCCTTAATTTAATAGCAGATGATCAAGTGCCTCTATGTACTAGTTACTAGGGATACAGTGAAAATTCCTGATTCTTGCTATTTAGAAGCTCATACCACAAAATCAGGGGTTTTTTTTCTTTGTTTTGAGATGGAGTCTCGCTCTGTTCCCCAGGCTGGAGTGCGGTGGCACGATCTTGGCTCACTGCAAGCTCAGCCTCCTGGGTTCACGCCATTCTCCTGCCTCAGCCTTCCGACGGGACTACAGGCACCCGTCACCACGCCTAGTTAATTTTTTTGTAGAGATGGGGTTTCACCGTGTTAGCCAGGATGGTCTCGATCTCCTGACCTCGTTATCCACCTGCCTCGGCCTCCCAAAGTGCTAGGATTACAGGCATGAGCCACTGCGCCTGGCCAAAATCAGATTTTTTACTCTCAGTTTGTAATGGCTTTTTTTTGGTCACTATAACACTATTCTGTCTCACCCTTTTTTTTTTTTTTTCTATTTCGTACTCTTATGTTTAGAATATGTCCTATTACTCCTGTTTGTTTTTTGTTTTTTTGAGATAAGGTCTTACTCTGTCACACAGGCTGGAGTGCAGTGGCAGGATTATGGCTCACCACAGCCTCGACTTCCCAGGCTAAAGTGATCCTCCCACCTCAGCCTTCTAAATAGCTGAGACTCCAGGCCTACTCCACCATTCCCAAACAATTTTTTAATTTTGGAGATGAGATCTTGCTATGTTGCCCAGGCTGGTCTTGAACTCCTGGGCTGAGGTAATCCTCCCACTTTGGCCTCCCAAACTGTTGGGATTATAGTGGGATTACAGGCATGAGCCACCATACCTGGACTTCTTTTGTTGTTTTTAGTTGCTCTGATTCTGTGATATTTGAGAAATAGTGGCAATTTTTGAGGAAGAGGCTTTGTGGCTAACAATCATCCCAGCATGTACCACTAGAGCCTAATATTACACTGCCTCTATTAAAAATAGTGTCCTTCAGAAACAAATTTTGAGCATTTATCTGGATAACCAAGAATCATAGCCCAAATATCCTCTCTACTTCTACATCTATTTTATTCAACCAGTAAACATGTATGGAGCACTTCTTATATGAAAGACACTGTTCCAGGTGCTCAAGGTAGAGCCCAAATGCCTTTATGAAACTAAAAAGCTAATATGGAAACATAGTAACAAAAAAGAGGGAAGGGCCTGAGGTTGCTGTTAGGTGTGACTCTGTAGCTAGCCATCCCTTATGAGGACCCTATGTTCTTCTAATTGCAGATAATTTCTATGAAAACCTAAAATATTTTCTGACTGATTTTGATACTAAATATACCTCACAGTTATCTGAAATCAGTTTTACTTTTTATTTTATTCTAAGATTTCAAATTGAAAATCAGGAGTAGGAACTTCTGAAACTTTCTAACATATATTTAGATTTTTCTTTATTATAAAATATTCTTGAAACACAATCAGGGACCATGAAGAACATAAAATGTTCCTTTTCTTGCCTTGCTATATCATACTATTCAGGGGGCAATCAGTAATAACAGTCTGATATGTGTACTTCATTATTTTTATTCTTTCCATATACGACTATATATATGTACACTCACAGGTGTTTATCTATTTGTAAAAAAAAAAAAAAAAAGTATCATATGATTAGTGTTTTTCTGCAACCTGCTTGCTTCACAGTATGTATGTTGAGGATTGTTTTTGTTAGTTTAAATGTAGGTCTGGCTCTTTAATGATTGGAATTTTGCTGTATGGCTGATAAGACTGAACTGCAATGAAAATAATCTTTGCCTGTATCTTTTAGTACTTCTTTATAAATGGATCTTTCTAATGTAATATAGTATTAGAATTTGTGTATTTGAAACTCAGGTAATTATCACCTTGCAAAAAAAGTTGTACTAATTTATCTTTTATAGTAGGCATTCTTGGTGTGCCACCCGGACCCCATACTGGGTTGATGCACCCATTCCCAGCTGCTGACAGTGTTGGCTAATAATGGCTCACAGCTGCCCCCTTTTCCAGAGACTTCCTTTTCAGATGACAGGGGTTGCCTTGCCCAGAAGTTACCTGTCTGCCACAATCCCATCTCCCTGACTTACCCCTTCTTGGTCAGCCCACTGCCAGTGATTTGATCCTGGGGCACAGAATGCTAGGGACTCTTGTCTCAAAGTAGAACAAACTCTGTAGGTGGGATTCATGCTGTAGAACTCCCCCATGGATCAGGCCAAAACCAGACTCCAGATGATTCTATATCCTTAATTAGCTCTTTCCCCTTCCTTATCCCATTTCCTTCACTTTTCTCCTGTGAGTTCTCCCTCAGTGAATCACATGCATCCAAATCCCAAAACACTTTACCAGCAGTGTATTGGAATGCCCACTTCAAACCCCTTTTCTGAACTAGATGTTATCAATCCTTTTATATTTGCCAATCTGATCAATGAAAAATGGTGGCACAAAATTTCACATTTATTAGTTACATTAAGATTCGAATATATGTTTATGTATCTTTTATTTCTTCTGTTAATTCTGTTCATATTCTTTGCCTGTATTTCTCTCGGGCTGTTTTACCTCCTTACTGAAGCTCTGTATATTATAGATAATAACGTTGTTACTTATGCGTATTTTCTCTGAGTCAGTTGTCTTTTTTTTTTTTAACTTTATGTCAATTGCTCTACCAAGTGTTATATTTTGAAAAGCCTACCTGGCTTTAAAATTATGTACATGATTCTCATATTTATTTTTTCTGGGATTTTCATAGTCTCTTTTTTGTTTTTGAAAAGTCATAAGATATGGATAAGGTGACAATATTCTTATACTTGGACTTTCTCTTCACATCTTTAGCTGTGGCTTTTAAATTCAGACAGTTTGGTGATTGAATCATTGAGAAATTCTAAATATATCAAAAAATTCCCATTGTTGGAAGACACATTGAAAGCAGATTCTAGTTCTGCCTGGAGTGCTATCAAGGTCCTCTACCAGCCATGCATCAAAAGCAGGAATGAAAAGTAAGTTGTGCATTTGTTTTCTCATCCACATTATGTTTTATCTTTTGTTGTCATGTTGGTGTTAAGAAATTAATGAATTAAATGCCACTATACCCCTTCCCTGCTTGAAGCTTCTAGGAGCCATACTGCTAAATATTATATGTTTAAAATAGGTTGAATTATTACAGATGATTCATGCTAATATGCAGAAAGCTTGCTTTTACCAAAAATTATCATTTTTTTCTTGTAATCTAAGCTGTCTGTACATATGGCTGCAGTACTAAATCCGACTTCAACAGTGATGAATGTTTACCAATAAGCACTTTCCAGGCATCAGGATACAATAATGAACAAAACACAGCCCCTGCCTCTTAGCATTGTTGTTCTAATGGGGGAAGGCAGACCATAAACAAAACAGATTCTTATGTCTCTTACTATGTGTCAGGCACTCATCTAAGAACTCATAGGTCATTTAAGCCTAACAACAACCTGTGTGGTAGGTACTATTATCATCCCCACTTTAAAGATAAGCACACTAAGATACTGGTAGTAAATTACTCTAGTGAAAAATGAAACAAGGTAAGGTAGTTGGTGAGGGGTAGAATGGGAGTAGGATGTTGTCATTTTATATTGCAAAGTCAGGAAAGATTCCTTAGATACAGTGATATTTAAGCAGATAACTTGAAGGAAGTGAAGTGCTGAGCCATATCTGATGGAAGATCATTCCCAGAAAAGGAAACAGCAGGTATTCTTATTGTAACAGAATCAAAGTTTGTACTTGTCCTGTACTCTCAGATGGGTTTGATCAAATTTGTCCTAAGGACAGAAGGATCTTAGTCTTTTTCTGGAAAGTAAATAAGACATTGAAAAAATTAATTACGTTTCTTATGCAAGTAGTACCAGTCATAAAAGATCCAAACACTAAGAGACATATGTAAGGTAAAATTATATCCCTCTCCAGAAGTAAAACGTTTATTGTGTACTCTTCCACTTCTTTTTCCATTCATTTTGCACCTAAACGTGTATTTTTTTACACTTAAGCCCATGTCTTAGAGATTCTTTCCATGTCAGTGCTTGACATTTTATGAAATGGAGGTACTATAAATTACTTAGCCATTTTTCTTTTAATGGATATTTGGTTTATTACTTTTTTGCTGTTATAATTAGTGTTGTAATCTTGTATATTTGTTTTCTGATTGTAAGTTTTCTATATTAGAGGAATTTCTAGAGGTACAATTGTTGAGTCAAAGGGTATGGACATTTAAAATTTTGAGAGGTAATATCAAATTATTTTGTAAAAAGGTATCATGAATTTATACTCCCACCTGAAGTTTTTATAAATGTCCATTACCCTGAATTCTCACTGAAATTTCCATTTAGATTTTTGCCTATCTGATGTGATTCTAAAGGAAACAGGTACTTGACACTATCCTTATATTTTATTGAGGCATGTTCAATGGATGCATCTCAGTTTTATGCTTTTGAGACTCTTTTTGAGGGCTTGGATTTTTTTTTTTTCTTTTTTTTTTTTGATGCCCTTATACGTAGTCAACTATTAAGGTCTACATTGATTATATTTTCTTTTGATGTGTGTGTGTGTGTGTGTGTGTGTGTGTATCTTTATATATTTAGGTTTATATCATCAAATTTATTAAAACCCTTTATATTCATCTTTTCTATTTATTGAAATGTGGACTTTTTTGACAGGTATGTTGAATCTTACATTATGATTATGTAAGTAATTTTCTTCCGTTTTGATTCTAGTTTTCACATTATATATTTTAAAGCTGTATTGTTAGAGAAATAAAAGCATGACAACTAATTGAGTATACTATCAATAGGAGATTTTGCTCTTCTTCAATTTAATGCTAGTTTTTGTTTCATTCTAATTTGCTGTGATGGTTAATAGTAAGTGTCAACTTGATTAGATTGAAGGATGCAAAGTATTGGTCCTAGGTGTGTCTGTGAGGGTGTTGCCAAAGGAGATTAACATTTGAGTCAGTTGGCTGGGGAAAGGCAGACCCACCCTTAATCTGGGTGGGCACCATCTAATCAGCTGCCAGCATGGCTGGAATATAAAGCAGGCAGAAAAACATGAAAAGACTAGACTGGCTTAGCCTCCCAGCCTACATCTTTCTCTAGTGCTAGATGCTTCTTGCCCTTGAACATTGGACTCCAAGTTCTTCAGCTTTGGGATTAGGACTGGCTTCCTTGCTCCTCAGCTTATAGATGGCCTATTGTGGGACCTTGAGATTGTGTGAGTTAATATGATCATATATGTGTGTGTGTGTGTATATATCTTCATATATATGAAGGTTTATATATTTATATATGAAGAGATATATATATGGCTTTTTATATATGAAGAATTAAATATATGTATAAAAAGATTTACAAATATATGTCTATATATTCTATTAGTTCCGTCCCTCTAGAGAGCCCTGACTAATACGGATTTTGATACCAGGAGTGGTTCTAGAGGAGCAGAATATTAAGGATAGAGTTCTTTCATTGGTTTTGAGGTTTCTGGAGTTGGCTGCTTAATATGATTACATCCAAAAATGCTAAGGTCTCTACTTCTGATAACATGGAGAACACTGATAGTCCTTGGCATGAACTGTTAACAGAGTTATGCACAGTAAATACATTTGACACTCCTGATTCACTGCTCATGAGAGGCAAGGAGTTTAGTGACTCTCTGCATAATGCCTTTGACTATATTAAGGAACATAATGAAGTTGGTTGGTTGCTCCTAAGTTCACTGGACAAAGTGATGAAAGAAAATGATGAACTCAGGGATTCTAACTCCCAGCTTCAGAAACAGATACGGAGCCTCAAATCTGCTAAGATTGCCTTGAGTGAGAATCTTATCTCCTGTAGAGAAAGAGTTGAAATTGTGGAAAATCAGACACAAGTTTATCATGTGAGTGACTGACCTGCAATGAAAAGTGTATGCACAGCCTCACCAGGTGTCTACTGTTAAAGTGAGGGGATTAATCGGGAAAAAATGGAACCCTGAAACTTGGAATGGGGATATGTGGGAGGACCCTGATGAAGCTGGGGATACTGAGCTTATAAACTCTAAGGAACCTTTCTTGCCAGAAGACACAGCTTCCCCATCCCCAGTAGTGGCAACATCCCCTTTCCAACCCATGCTGCCATCAGCATTTCTACCTTTGTCTGAGGAGATAAACCCTTTACTGTCTGAGGCAATAGCGATGGCCTCCCCAGAGGCAGTTTCCAAGCAGGATAATGTTGATTCTCCTCAGGAGCCACCCCCAAAACCTCTGTTTGCTTCTAGACCTATAACTAGACTAGAGTCTCGGTGGACCCCTAGAGGTGAGGTTGAGAGTAAGACCCATGAAGGGGTGTACTAGAAGCGAAAAGAACTGCTTGAGTTTTCTAATGTATATAAACAGAAATCTGGAAAACAGGCATGGGAATGGATATTAAGGGTGTGGGATAATGGTGGAAGGAATGTAGAGTTGGATTAGACTGAATTTATTGATTTGGGCCCACTAATTAGGGATTCTTCATTTAATATTGCAGCTTGGGGAGTTACAAAAGGTTCTAATAGTTTATTTGCTTGGTTAGCTGAAAGATGGATTAAAAATGGCCCACTATGAGTGAGCTGGAAATGCCTGATCTCTCTTCGTTTAATGTAGAGGAAGGGATGGTGGAGTGGATTAGTCTCTTTAGACCTACTCATCCCAGCTGGGAGGGTCCAGAAGATATACCCTTGACCAATGCTTTGTGAAATAGATTTGTGAAGGCAGCACCTTCATCTTTGAAGAGCCCTGTAATTGCCCTTCTCTGTATGTCAGATCTAACAGTGGGAACTGCAGTCACTCAACTACAAAATTTAAATACAATTGGAATAATTGGATCCCGAGGTGGCAGGGGCCAAGTGGTGGCACTCAGCTGTCAAAGGCAAGCTGGGCATAGCTACTGTGATGGACAGAAGAGGCAAAGCAGCAATCAGAATAATCTGACTCCTGTCGAACTCTGGCATTGGCTAATTACAATGTTCCTAGAAGTGATAGGAAGCCTACTGCATTCCTACTTAATTTATATAAGCAGAGAACTTCCAGACTAATTTGAATTATAAAAGCAGAGAATCATAGTCCCTCAATCAATTTCCAGACTTGAGCCAGTTCACATACCCAGAACCCCTTGAATGAAAGGGAGACCGGGTCCCCTTGAGGAAGGACCACTCTACACTACTGACAGTTTATGCTGTGAATCTTTCTCCCATCCTTCCCCAAGGAGACCTCCAGCCTTTTACCAGGCTAACTGTTCATTGGGCATAGGGAAATGATCAGACATTTCAGGGACTACTGGACACTGACTCTGAGCTGACGCTGAGTCCAGGGGACCCAAAATGTCATTGTGGTCCTCCAGTTAAAATAGGGGTTTATGGAGGTCAGGTAATTGATGGAGTTTTAGCTCAGGTCTGACTTACAGTGGGTCCATTGTGTCCCTGGACTTATCCTGTGGTCATCTCCCCAGTGCCAGAATGCATGATTGACATAGACATACTTAACAACTGGTAGAACCCCCACATTGGCTCCCTGACTGTAGGTTGAGAGCCATAATGGTGGGAAAGGCCAAATGGAAACCATTAGCGCTGCCTCCACCTAGAAAAACAGTAAATCAAAACCAATATCGCATCCCTGGAGGGACTGCTGAAATTAGTGCCACCATCAAGGACTTGAAAGACGCAGGGGTGGTGATTCCTACCATATCCCTGTTCAACTCTCTTATTTGGCCTGTGCAGAAGACAGGTGGCTCTTAGAGAATGAAAATGGATTATCGTAAGTGTAACAAAGTGGTGACTCCGATTGCAATTGCAGTACCAGATGTGGTTTCATTGCTTGAGCAAAGTAACACATCTCCTGGTACTTGGTATGCAGCCACTGATTTGGCAAATGCCTTTTTCTCCACTCCTGTCCGTAAGGCCCACCAGAAGCAATTTGTCTTCAGCGGACAAGGCCAGCAATATGCCTTTATTGTCCTACCTC